CCTTTTAATAATATGCTTTACTTGTCTCCTTTCGCTCTTATCTATACTGTCTCCTTTTAACAATGTGCTTTACTTGTCTCCTTTCACTCTTCTTTCTGCTGTCTCCTTTCTCTTTTCTTTACTTGTCTCTTTTCTTTTTTGTCTCCTTTCTTTCTTTTGTCTCCTTTCTTTCTTTTGTCTCCTTTTGCTTGTCTCTCTCAGTTTGTCTCTTTTCTTATACTTTTGCTGCTGTTGCATTGTCTCCTTTTGCTGCTGTTGCATTGTCTCCTTTTGCTGCTGTTGCATTGTCTCCTTTTGCTGCTTTTGGATTGTCTCCTTTTGCTGCTGCTGGTCTGTCTCCTTTTGCTGCTGCTGCAGAAGAGTCTCTCGTGCCTCTCTTGCATGCGAGTTGCTGCGGGGCCGTGTGGCTGTTGTGCTGCTGGACAGTATTCGTTTAGCTGCAGCAAACCCCAAACAAATACGCAAAAATGAGTTTGAAGGTATTTAAGACCCTAGGGAAAATCAGCAGCAGCAGCAGCAGCAGCAGCAGAAGCAGCAGCAGCAAGTGTAGCAGCAGCAGCACCACCAGCAGCAGTACCAGAAGCAGCAGTAACAGAAGAGTCGCAGCAGCAGCAGCATCACCAGGAGCAGCAGTAGCAGTAGCAGCAGAAGCAGCAAGAGTAGCAGCAGCAGCAGCAGTAGCAGCAGCAGCAGGAGCAGCATTAGCGCAAGCAGCAGTAGCACAAGCAACAGCAGAAGAAGCAGCGGCAGCTGTCTAGACACCTGAGGAGGCCCCAATAGAATATGTTGGAGTTGAAGTGGCTGTTAGGGGGGTTAGAGAAGCTAGAGACACAAATTAGAGTCTAGGGTTTAGGGTTTAGGGTTTAGGGTTTAGGGTTTGGGGCTGGAGGGACAAGGAGGGTTTGCTGCAGGTGCGCAGCGCAGACGGGAGCAGGGGAGACAGAATCACAGCAACCAGAAACAGTCGTGCTGCTGCTGCTGCTGCTGCTGTTGCTGCTGCTGCGGTGTGCTCCAGGGCACTTCGTTGTCGTGTGCGGCGTGGCTCTGTCCCTTCCCAAAGGAGTGACTGCTGTCTCCTTGCTGCAGCAGAAGCAGCAGCAGCAAGAGGAGCAGCAGCAACAGCAGCAGCAACAGCAGCAGCAACAGCAGCAATCGCAGCAGCAAGCACAGCAGCAGGAGAAGAATGGTTCTGACTGTGGAGCTGCTGCTTCTGCTGCTGCTGCTGCTGCTGCTGGTGCTGGTGCTGCTGCTTGGGGTACAGAAGTTAATGCCGGGGAGACACTTGTTTGTCTGAAGCAGCTGCAGCAGTTGTTTGCTGCTGGAATTCGCAGCTGCGACGTCAGAAGTTTTCTCTTAGTAGATCCGTTAAAGCCCCGACCCATATGGGTTAACCCCTTTAGATTTGATGCATGCAGAGACGCAGACGGTATGCAGCAAATTAATAATAATAATAATTATTAATATTAATATTATTATTATTATTGTTATGGTTCTGTTTCTTTCTTTGTCTGTCGCTTCGTCTGCCTCTGTTTTTCTCTCCTTCTTCTTCTGTCTCTCTTTCTCTTTGTCTCTCTCTGTCTCTCTCTGTCTCTTTCTCTCTCGTTAACTAAATATATATAGCTATATACATATATTTATATACACACATATATATATACATATATATACATATATATATGTATATAGATAGGCACCATAGAGACAGAGAGAAGTAGATTCCTGTCTATCTTTCTCTGTCTCTTTTTCTGTCTCTCTCTTTCTTGTTCTCTCCCCTTCTCTATTTATTTTATTTATTTATTTATTTATTTATTTGTTTGTTTGTTTGTTTGTTTGTTTAGGGACAGACAACGACTTAGTTATAATTCAGATGCCGCCTCAGCTGCAGAAGGCCTGGCTGGCGAAGCAGTCTCTCTGCTGTACTTAGAGCGACTGTCTCCTTCTCTTCTTTTGTCTGTCTCCTTCTCTTCTTTTGTCTGTCTCCTTCTCTTCTTTT